ATCTTCAAAATCGCATTTCGTTAATAGCAATTGTGGGTACCTTTCTATCGATAAGTGTCCTGTCATAAATGATTAACATATCCCCGTCTTTCCACCAACAATACGATGAGGTCCTTTTTTAAAGGTCGCACATTTTCCTTAATTTTTGAAACTGATATAAATTAAAAAAAAATAACAATATTATCTATTTACTTACCTGAAACAGGCCGTATTGTGGTATTGAGTACGTAGGTGATACCAAACGCTATTTATCTGAACGCAACCAAGAACACCTTTATCGTTTTAGAAGACCCAATAAATTTAAAAGTACATTTACCAACACCGTAAGAATTACAATCATCATTTTAAATATTTAACTCTTCAACCTTTAGAAGTATTAAATAAGAAACCTGCGGGAATCTCATTCAAAACATGTACGATCACGGAAAATAATTGATTTAATTGGAGTAACAAATTACAAACAGTTTATCCTTTCGGTATTTATTATAATAGAATGGTAATATATCAAACACCGATTCTGTTAACATTTGGAATAAAGTTTCTAAAACTGTACGTAAAAACTGTTCGTAAAAACTGTTCACAAGGACGTAGAATAAATCGCAATAAGAGAAAACAATGGCAGACGTAATCTGTTAACCAAGCTCTGTTCTTTATCTGACAATAAATTACATCAAATTTTGGAGAATGGCAACAAAATTCCATAGTGCAGTCCTAAGTATGAAATCGTCCAAATTGCACAATGTTATTTTAAACTGTTTCCCAAAATTGATCGCCCTGAAGATCATAAAAACATTTCTTTAAAATGAAATATGTCAATAAAGGTTTTGATTTTATAAATATTGTAGGTATTCCTAATGATCATGCTGTAAAAGAACAAATTCCTGGCTATGTTGATAATACTGAGCTCCCTCTTATCTATCATGTTTACACAAAATCTACCCGGAAATATGTTTTTAATTATAGCGAGGTGTGCAAAGATGTTAATATCAGCGACAATACACCTACGTCATGAAATTGTAGTAATTCCAAATACATGTACGGCCCCAGTTCCCATGTTATAACAGGAGACCTTAACATCGTCCAGGACCGAGAGCTGAAATCATTCCTTAGAAAAGGACCTAAATATCGCCCCCGTCAATTATTAAGTGAAATGAGTGTCGTAAGATCATCCACAAATCACTCCATACTTACTGCATAAAATGGATAAAACGCTAAAAACCAGACAAAAAATCCTCAGATTCTTTTTCAATTTGGTAATGCAAATATTTAATATTCGTATTAAACATTTCAAAAACATTTTACTCCTAACAACAACCATAATAGCCCTATTTCTTGTATCAAACATAAGTTAACAGAACTCGGTAAGGAATGTGTGTTTGTCCCGGCTGATAAGGATGCCAATAATATTATTATTTTTGACATACATTTTTTATTGAGGTTCTGCAAAAGGAAATTCCAAATTCACCAACATTCTAACTGACTCAATTTTCAAAAAATGACATCATCAACACATCTTTCTGCTTCCTCTTTACAAACAGGACCGAATAACATAACAGTTCCAACTATATACTGGCTTCCGAGGCTGCACAAAACACCTTACAAATATAGATTTATTTCGTCTTCAAGCCATTGTTCCACTACTAAAATGTCTATTCTACTTACCAGTACACTTGGTAAAATCAAAAACCTGGTAATCAATGTTTCAAATAAGGTCTACGAAAATAGTGGAATTATTTACTTTTGATGTGTCAAAAATTCGTTAAAAGTACTTGATAAATTGCATGTTCATGTTGGTGCTTTCGAATTTGTTCAATGATTTGATTTGTCTACCCTATATACCTCTTTCCTCATAATCTCATTACGAAAAAAATGCACATACCAAATTAAATGAACATTTAAAAAGTCAGAATGTGAATATACATGTTCAAACTTTTTTAGGTCATTTCTAGTAACAGCAACCAAAAGAACTATGTCAGTTGGGCCTGCTTTGATATGATAACTGCACTTGAATTTTTACTAGATAACATTTGTGTTCGCTATGGAGGAGATTCTGTTCACCACTAATTGTGGACCCGTTTCTGTATTGTTACGAGACATCATTTATGTCTAAAATCAGCAAAGACCCATCGAAACAGCATCTGATACAAAAAAAAAATATAACAATTTTAGATAGTTGGATGATACTTTGGCTCTCAATAATGACGAGTTCAGTATGTACACTAAAGAGATTTATCCTGTTGAACTCACTTTAGATAAAGCTAATACTAACAATGCACACTGCCCTTTCCTGGTTCTTTATATCTATATCTCTAGCGGGAAGCTTAATTCTAACATTTACGATACAAGAGATGATTTTTCATTTCCTTTTGTTAATTATCCGTTTTAGATGTTGACGTTCCCTTGGCACCATCGAATGGTGTTTATTTATCTCAACTTGTTCGATTCGCTCGTGTTTGTAAAAAGTAAAACAACAAATAAAAAACGCACTCCAAAGGATATTCAAAAAGAAAAGTCCCTTAACAATTGACAAAATCATTAATAATAAACATATTAGATTTTGTCAGCGGTGCAAGGATATCATTCGTAAATATAAATCAACGTGCAGAGATCTTATACATTCAGGTATTTCACATCCAATCTTGTATGGTATTATTATATACAAAGCACAAAAACGTCTTCATTCACCTCAAAAGCTAACCAAACCTTGAAACAGACTTATTCACCAAGGGATATAGTAACGATACTGTTGTCAAGTCATTAAAGATTGCATTTTTTCAAATAATATTGTTTCACTCATAGGGTCTTTGCCTCGGACATAGACAAACTTATTCTAAAACCAGTTGTTGGCATGATACAGGTTATGTTCTTCTCGTATAATTTATGATTGCATGATACTAAACCCCTAACAAGAGGGATTTTGGTTGATTTGAATATGATTAAGACATTATCTTTCGATCAGTTCAATTGAGGTCTGCAGCTGGCATGTCAGTAACTGCTACTAGTCCTTTGTTAATTTATGTTGATCATTGTCATTTTGCTTATTTTCTTCTGTTACCTATTCTAACATCGGACTCAGACTTCTTTTAAACTGAGTTTACTGTGCGTATTGCTGTGTGTTTGTTTATTCCACATTGACTAGATGTATAGGGGGAGGGTTGAGATCTCAGAAAACATGTTTTACCCTGACGCATTTTTGCGCCTGTCCAAAGTCAGGAACCTCTAGCCTTTGTTAGTCTTGTGTGTTTTTGTAATTTTGGTTCATTTGTATGTTTCGAAGTTAAGTGTGGCGTCAATGTTGCTGTACTAGTATATATTGTTAAGGGCCTGCTGAAATCCGCCTCCGGGTGCGGGATTTTCTTGCTGCGTTGAAGACCCACTGGTGGCCTTGTGCTGTTTTCTGCTCTTTGGTCGGGATCTTGTTTCTTTGACACATTCCTCGTTTCAATTATCTATTCTATACCAATATTATCCCCTGGTGTTCTGCTTCAATATTGATTGAACGGTAAATTTGCGATATGCGACCTTGCAATGTAGAGTATTTTATTAATTAAAAGCAACAGCAAAGTTTAAAAACACAATTAACATTTACGCGCCAATATAAGGTTGTATTGCAGGGTAAAAAAAACCAAGACGTACATTGTCGAGAAAAATTCATAAAAGACATATAAAATAAGGACTTCTTTTATTACAGCCAGGGGCATTACTTAAACAAGTAACTTTTAAAATTACTTATACAAGTAATGTTGAAAACGAGGCTATTTTAAAAATTACTTATATAAGTAACTTTTCTAAATATTAAGACAGATTGTACTAGTTTTAACAAATGTTTACAGTCATCTGGTTATTTTTTCCATGAAATATAAAATCTAATCCTTCTGAAACACTAATTGCCTTTCTGGCGCACTTATCTTTCATATAGAGACTTCTGGGTCAAAGATTGGTCTCTTGGGACTATTAAAATATCGTTTTCCTTGAAAATCTTGAAGTTAGAAAGGTATAAATAGATAGAAACTTGTGAATTAATTAAGACTTGAAGTTATTTATAATTTGTAACCCAAAACAATTACATATGTTCCTTAAATATGTTTCATTAATTCTTTCAAAGATGTATAAAATAACTTATTCAAGTAACATTTTTGTCATCATTTTTAAAGTAACCCTTAATGTCTATACTCCTCTCAAATCTAATAAATTCTTAATTTTATGATATAAAATGATGTAAAAATTCATGAAAACTACATTTAGTCAATGCTTCTATTGAAATTTAAAATAACTCTATTGAATTTTATATTTTTCTAAAAACAAAAATTACCTATATAAGTAACTAAAAAAAGTTACTTGTTTAACTAACGCCCCTGACCGCTACAAATCAAATGGAACCTCAGAAACCAGGTGTTTCCACAGCTCTATGAATTTTGTATTTCATTTTCAGACACTATTGGTAATATAGCTCATCAAGTATTTGAACCTTTTTAGCTTTCAAATGATAGGGTTTCAGCATTCTAAATGAGTGAAATAAATAAAGCGCTTCAGAAGCACTAAATAATTCAAGTGTTATTTTCAGTTTCTAGCACTGAATTGATCCCTGCTGTTGTTCTGCTTGTCCACGAGGGTATCATCAGCTCAGTAGTCAGTGCTTTGGACATGACAAGATTTGTTACATAAATTTATAACATTTACCGTTGATAAAATTAGAAATTATAAAGAAATTAGGTTTCCAGCTCATGCAAAGTTGACATTGTATAGATTTGCCCATTCTTTTATGTTCCTTTTTTGTTAATAGCTCAAATATTTATACAAAATAGGCTTTCTTTTTTTGCGGTTTACCGTTCCTAAAGTAGGTAAATCCATTAAAATGTTGCTAACGCACCAAATTCATGAAGCGTAATTTTAATTCTTAACAGATAGTAATGTTTACTTTAATGACTTATAAAGAAATGTTTCACGTATATATACAACAATTACAAACATGCATTTGGGTGAATGTGTTGAATTTTTAGGGTTTTATTTTTCACAGGGAGTTTTTGGTGAAACGTTTCGATCAACTGATGTTGGATTTGCAGTAAATATATGTAAACTTCACCATAAAAGCAGAGGAACAGTTCGACTGAGAAGCAAGAATCCAATGGCGCCTCCTCTTATAGATCCGCAATATTTAGCAAATCAGGATGACGTTGATTCTTACGTAAAAGGTATACATTTGATATCGGTATCACTTTTCGACATGTTCTAGAGTTTAAATAAATTTTCACATCTAATCCACACAATCAAATTTTTTTTTAATCAGAACGTTTGAAAAATCAAGGCTAATACAATAAAAGGTACAATAACTGTTAGTTAACTCCCTCCCCCCAAAAATATTTAAAAAAATAGGTAAATGTTTTGGATATAATTTGTATCCTGCAATTTTTATATTTTTCTAGTTATAAGATATATGCAAGAATTTGCAAACAACTCGGCATGGAACAGCATAGGAACTACATTTATCAGGCAAGAAGAATGTACATCTTTCTGCAAAGCATTTACTTTTGACACAGATGACTATTGGAAATGTATGATTCGCCATTATGCAACCCATTCTAATCATCAAGTTGGTACTTGTAGAATGGGAGCTCTTCGTGATAAAACGGCTGTTGTAGACCCACATTTGAGGTGAGAGTAATTTATATCTTCTTATTTTAAATTCAATAAAAGGTATCGCATGCAATATCCGGACGTTAATCAGAAAAGTTTGTTACACAGGAAAGAAGGACCTAAAAACATTAACGGTACCAGTTTTACTGAACCAAATGCGCAATTTGACAATACATGTCTCTTCAGTGATGCTCAAAGCCAAAACAATGTGAAAGTTCAAAACCTAACACAGAAGTTGAAAAGCTGGTAAAACCAAAAAAGACCAAAAATGAAAGCCAAACCCGGACAAGGAATCAGAGCTGTGTATTAGGGAGATACATTCTTAATCTAAAATTGTTTCCAAATTTTATCACAGCAAATTTAAATTAAGTATTATCCGTATTTTAATGCCAGTACTAAAGTACTGACTACTAGGCTGATGATTTTCATGGCGACTTAGAGACAACCAGCAGATAAATAACGTTACCGTAAGGATGGTGTGGTAGAATCTTTGATTATATCACGTACGTGCCATTGTTATTTCGCAATAAAAAGAATGATTGAATATACAATATTTATTTATTTGTTTTCAGGGTGATAGGAATTAAAAATCTAAGAGTTGCAGATTCGTCAGTAATGAGAAATGTTCCGTCCGGCAACACGAACGCTGCAACAATGATGATTGGAGAAAAAGCTGCTGACATTATTAAAAAGAGCAGACATACAAAATTCTATTATCACAAATGATTAAATAAGTAGCAAACCATCTTATTCTTAGATAAGAAATGATGAATAAATAAGAATTAAAGACATCCTTCATTAACGGATATTTGCTTATAATTTTAATAAATGTTTGTAACCATTGACGGCCAAACCGTTCAAGCTTATCGATTATTCCTCTCCTGTACTATAATATTTGAACATTTTTTCTGGTTATTATCAAATGAAAAAATAAAAGCTACAGCATTGTATATCAGTTCATACGAAAGGAATAAAACACGGATTTTTTTTTTACCACTTTCCTTGTACCAGCACTAAAGACTTTCAATAATTTTGTAATATGTCCATGTAAAGGATGAATATTATTAGTCATAAATTGAAGTAACTGGACATTATTTTATATAAGTGATCAAACGGATAGACACTTTTTTCCAAATAGTAGAATAGGAACCTCTAACCATTTCGAAGCAACTGAGTTCACATCGGTTTTAGGTTAAATTCATATCGTCAAAACTTGTTCATACTTTTATTATCCTAATTCTGATTCTAAGAAGACAGAGCTTTTGATTTTAAGTGTTTGCATCTTAATTTGTCCATTCCCCCCCTTTGACATAGTTTCCCCTTTTTCTCAACTGGGTGCATTATGTGCATTACTTTATTTGTACCTTCAATAAAAGCGTATGTATCGCCCTTACCCTGTTTGAACCACTTGATACCTTTTTTTTATTTACAGTCATATATTTTGACACGACAAGCCTTCCAATCAATTTTAAAAAGACGATTCTGTTATCCCTATCGAGGAATTGTTCATTTCTTTGTGTTAAATGATACTTACACATTTACATTACCAGTAACAATTCGACCTCATGGATTACAGGTACCATGAAACTTTCAACAGTTACATGTTTTTGGGATTATTGTTATCCATGTTTCTCTCTGATTTTAAAGACTTCTTATCGAATTTAAGATCTCTGATAGTCTATCATATTACGGAATTACCTGTAGTTCTACCAATGGTCAAACACCATTTTTCCTGAACATGGAAAAGATCTGTTATAAAAATTGCAACACAATTGTTTGATTACAATCAATAATTATCGTTAGAAGAATAACTGTATATGAATAAAATGAGATGTATGGTATATTTCACTGATTACGACATCCCAAATTTTTGTTTTACAGATAACTTAAAATAAAACACATATACAAAGCTGTATATCGCATCCAGTCTAATAAGGTGCATACATTTAATAAACAGGGAAGTTAAGATTCTGCCTCCAACAAATACTTCCTAAACAAACATATAGACATCAAAGCATTTAGAGAAAACAACGGAAAACTACTTGCAAGGTTCATGACAGGCATACCAACATGTGGTGATGACAAAACTAGTGTTGTTTTGATATATAATCTTCCTTTTTAACATGTTATATCACCACAACAAAAAGACAAAAGAACCTGCAATAAATTGGGAACTTTATAAATTGTATATGCATTTGTCTTAGGTATATCGTACATGACTTCTAGATGCCTTCTTTGTAACCTTCCTTGGGGCGTTGATTTGTAATGTTATTGGTATATACTCCCGAATTCTTTGTTATTTATAACACATGTAAACGGAAAAAAAGCACTTGACAACATACGTTCGTAATAATTGATAACAAAAACCCAATAACCCGATAAACAATACTTTATCAAAGAATGCTCAAAGTTTGGTAGTCGAAAATATTGTCTTATTTAAATACCAAGCGTAGTACCAATCTTTATAACTTTTGTACTTTGCAGAAGTGCTGATTTGTCGATTTTTGTCACGCTAATTTTCAAATTCTGAAAAATATTGATGAAAATACTTTTACTTTGGATTATGTATCTTTGTGTTTTTGTTTTTTCTTTTTTTTTTACTGTTTCTTCTGTATGATTTTCATATAAAGTTCAATACTCATATTATTATTATTATTAATAACATTATTATTACTATTTGACGTAATTATGGTTTTAATGTTTTAAGGACGGACGTTTATAAAATATTTGAAAAAAAAAGCAAATAGCATTTCAAGTTTTATGAAAAGAGCAAGTGTGTTACCCTTTTAATTCCAAACATAATACAATTGTTCAATATTTTCAAAATAATAGTCATTCTCGTAATGAATAGTAAATAAAGCAACGTCTAAATATTGTTTTGCAGAGAGATCATGGATGATGTCCCCATTACATAATAAACATTTCATCAACGAAATATTTCACCACCGAATCCATGTTTGGGTTTCAACAGGATGTCTTTAAATAAGGTACTTGCCTAAAAAAGACACTAAAACATGCTAGACTTTTGCTTATATGTGAAGGAGTGTGAAGTTTGGAATATAACTGTATTTTTACTACTTTGTTAATATTAAATATAATATATAATGATTGGATATTTTCCTTAAATACATTGTAGGTATAAAACAAACAGTTAAGACAACATTTATACATTATATTAGAAACTTCCAATAAAATGACATTACTCGACATAACCAACCTATCTGACCGTATCTCGGCCTATTGCATTGGATTTTCGGCTTGTTGAAAACACATACTTTGTTGGAATAGATGCTATTTAAAAATTAGCACAATCTGCTATTTCAATTCGTTCAAAATATATAAAGTATAAATTATATAACAAACTAGAATTTGACCCGGATTAAGTGGTGTACTGAACATGGAAATGTGATCATGTGAAGGGGAACGGTGTCTTAAGGCCCCAAATTATTGTTGCAAATGTTTGATTATTCATGTTCATGTAAACGTATCTTCCATATTCATAACAACTTTTTTTGTCTTGTGGTAGCATAAATCCGATGCCTCTTGTAGAGAAAATTCCACGCTCTCTGCACGATAAATAAGCATAAAATATTTGCCACCGGACGTTAAGCAACTAACTACAAATCAATTGACAGTCGCGTAACTTTGAATTTATTTCTAGTGAGGCGAAAGCTTGGCAGTCAAAGTCTCAACTTGGTTAAAAGATGTCAATGCCAATAGTGGTGGACGTTTAATTGAAAATCTTAATCGCAAAATAGTTTTCAGCAATTACAAATGCAACAAAATTCTTAGTTTTAATTAGGTTTGATTAATTGATTGATTGATTGTTGTTGCCGCACATTAAGAGACGAAAACTGCATGCATAGTCAGGACTAGTAAAACAAAATAATCAAATAGATATGTAGACTGGGTCGACCAAGATAACAACACAGTTTTCAATCGTTATTGGAAAAAGAGAGAATGTTACATAGGGGCATACTTTTTGTCTTGCAACAAGCACCATATGGATCCCTGGTTCTGTACCATGTAGAGCTACAATGTAATGTACGCACCTACACTAGATTTGATTGAACGTCCACATTCCTACTGGACGTGGCTGTGTATTTATAAGTCCCGGAAAACTAAATGAACGATCCTCTTGTAAGCATGTCAAACTGTTGTAAAAAGTGTTGTATAGAGTACGTACTGGTACATCCAGTAGGTAGGGTACTATTGCATGACTATTAGCTAAAATTATTCCTCGAAGAATATAAATTTTAACTCGGAAGCTCTTGTTATAAATTGTCTAACTCGGGACAATATTTAGCACAATTCATGCAACAACCCTTAAGTTATGTGATATGAGTTTTTTTTGTTAAGCATTTCTTCAAATAGATGAGTAATACCACCATTGATTTTCCCCTATTAGTCTTTGATAAATTAGCACTTTTCAAAAAATTGTGCAAAATTTCGCTTTGTTCCATATAAAGAAATACTTGGCATTAGTAAAAGTTTATCCTGTCCAGTACTACAGACAAAATGTCACATAACATTTCATTGCTTATAAGATAAAAACCATCACTGGAAGTTAACCAATCAAATTTTCACCCCTTGTTTCATGTGTACAAGTTTTAGTAACCATGTCACCTCAAGTTTCCAAAATATTTTATAAAACCTCCAAATAAAAGAAGAATGGTTCTTTGTAGCACCCAAGCTATACGTTTATGACTCATAATTTTTCTTTCTGCAACGAAATGCAGGGTTAACTTCCTACAACAGTTAAATTCAAGAGAATATTCTATTCGACCCTTTTTTCGTATGAAACCGGATGTGACATACTATGATAAAAAAGATATTTTCATTGAATAAACTGATTGTGATTATTTTTCTGAGAAATACTGGTTATATCAAGCATTTTTGTCTAGTTTTGTTGTAATCAGTTCAAACGTTTGAGAGAAATTTAGTATAATGTAAGACGGCATCTTAAGCATGTTCAGCAATTTAAGGAAAATTTCTTCGAAAAATCAAAATCACGCGCATTATGGTTGAATATAGTGTGGACCAATAAATTCATCAATAAATGATCAAATATTCATCTCATCTGCAAAAATACAGTTGGATATGATACAAAATATGACTTTAAGATGATACGCACCACAAATGTACCTCTTTGTCTTCATTATAATGTCCCTCTTTTTCCATTTATACCTCTCATTACTTCAAAATTTTTACTACTTAAGCTTATACATGAAATCGTGCAGCAATTATCACACATTTATGTAAGAAATGTGATATTAGATGAGTAATTGAAGTGTTCAAGCTGAATGAACTATCCACATAAAAGTTTACTGACTTAATTGAGGTTTCAAGAAGTCCTTACATAAAACTTGAGTTTACGCCGCGTTCCAAAGAGGGACATATAATGGTTTCTTTTTGGTGAATAATTTCTTGTTATTGCTTTAAAAAACATTTCATTTACTTATTATTGTATATTTCTTGAAGAATTACTGATGAAGAATTTTTCTTTTATAGCCCAACATAGGAAATGAGGAGAAAAAGTCAGAAAAAGCTCCAAAAAACACTAAGTGTGGCTTGGTCTATCTACTAATATTCATGGAAGAGCCCTATTTCAAGGCAATTTTCCCTCAAATATGTTTATGAGATTCAATTCACTCAGAATATCCATGTTTGCAACATACCAGTGAAATAGTATGCAATTTTGAAAAATGAGAGTACATACAAGGTCA